TTAGAACAAATTATTTTAAGATTTGTGTGGAATCAGAAAAGACCCCGAATAGCCAGGGGAATTTTAAAAAAGAAAACCATATCTGGGGGCATCACAATGCCAGATTTCAGGTTGTACTACAAAGCTGTGGTCATCAAGACAGTGTGGTACTGGCACAAAAACAGACACATAGATCAATGGAACAGAATAGAGAACCCAGAAGTGGACCCTGAACTTTATGGTGAACTAACATACCTATCATATTATTGCCCAGGGTCTCATTTTGCCTATTCACCACTCCCACCCTCAGCTGCCCTTTTGGTGAACACACTGCCAGGTTCATTATCATACTTGTTTCCTGAAGGATACCCAATATTAGGGGTTCCTGACATACCTCTTCTCTTTGTAACCCTCCCCAAAAGAACCATGCATCCCAACCGCCCACTTCTGAGCGAGTCCAGCTAGGTTTCACCCCAGCCTCCCAGCCCTTTCCTGTAAATGCACTCACAGCCAGGAGGGGTGCCATATTAAATCAAGAATGATGGATACCAGTGGCCACGATTATCCAGCCAAGATGCAGCATGGGGAGCTGGTTGCTGCTGGCTCCAGGTGAGGGCTTCTGAAGCTAATTGCATATGGCTTTTATTAAGATGATCACTGCCCCACTCCTGTTCTCCTGTGTGGCTTCTTCCTAGTGCCTCTCAGCCCAGTGCCCTCTGCTTCTGCAGGCCAGGCCACCTGCCCCATATTCTCCTCTAGTGGAACGCTGTCAAAGTAGGGCTTCAACCTTAGTCCCTATAAGGCTTCCTCCTCATCTCCTCAAAAAGCCAGGAATACTAGTAGCCTACATTTATGGAGCCCTTACCAAGTGCCTTTTCCCCTCTTTCTCTCCTCCCCGAGGTAGAATATAAACAGACCAACTATTTTCCTTTCCTAGGTTCTTCCACTAGTGTTTCACAAGCCTGGGTTCCTAGCTAATACCTTCAGAAGCCATTCATTCATTCGACACTTTTTTAAAAAATACAAACTGTGCTAAGCAGTAGGAAAGAGCATAAAGCAATAACCTTTAACCTGGTTTAATCCTAGCATCCTATACATTTTTATCAATAAGTCTGAAGTTTTCAGAACTTCTCAGAAGTTGTTCTGAATAGATATTTAGGGCTCCAGGCTGGGGGAGAACCAGGATGTACCCAGATTTAGGCCATGGGTTGAATATTTCCCAGGACCATCTAGAAAGCTCTGAAGAAACCAGCCAGGGGTGCCTGGGTGGCTCATTTGGTTGGGCATCCAACTCTTGATTTCAGCTCGGGTCATTATCTTGAGGTTGTGGGATGGGGCCGCATAAGATTCCATGCTCAGTGGGGAGTCTGCTTTCCCTCTCCCTCTGTTCATGTGCTCTCCCCTGCCAGAATAAGTAACTAAATCTTTAATATAAAAAAAGAAAAGAAAAGAAAAGAAACCAGCCAGATCCCAGTATAACCTTTCTCCCATACTCACTCCCATAGAAGTCAAGGATCCTTCCCCCGCCCATCCAAGAAAATAACAGGAATACTAAAACCACCTAAAACCATGACACTGAAGAAGAGTTATAGGAGATAAAAATGTTTCCCTAGAGAACACTTAGGGAGACCACAGTGTTTATACCCAAACCAATAGAGTGGCAAGAAAAGTCACGTTTGCCTGTGACAGAGGAAAAAGATATGTTCTGTGAGGCCCCACAGATCAATGCATGGAAAGCACCTAGAAGCAGAATTCTCTACCATGTAAGGGAAACTGACAGGCAGAGATGAGCTGCCTTGTACAGTGGAGGTATCCCAGGAACCCAGCTGGTATTGAGATGATACCCTGTGGACCTAGGCTTCCTAAGGAAGGAGCCTCAGGAGCCATTTCTGGGGCAGTGGGGGCATCTAAGTGGACTAGGCTCCTAGATTCTGCTTGAGCCAGAGCAACTCTTCGTCTGTGGAGCTCATACAGATTAAATTAGCTAAAAGGGTTCCAGTGCCCCCACCCCATCCGCCCAAAAAGCACTGGGTTAGATAGTCCGTTATCAAAATGCAGTGAAGGAGAAGAGAAGTAACATTTATCAGAGGCCTGTCAGGGGGCAGCTGCTGTGCTCTCCACTTGCATCCCTCACAACACCACCGCTACCTGTACATTGCCTATGTGCCAGAGACTCTGCCACATTCTTTGTGTATGTTATCTCACCTAATCCTCACCAGCATCCCACCAAGGCCTACAAGGTGATGGGAATTACTGTTTCTGTGTTAGTAATGAGGAAACAAAAATTCAGGGAGGTGAATTAACTTCCCCAAGGTCAGCTCGCTAGTGAGTAGACAGGGTGAGGTTTGAATTCAGATCTGCCTGGAGCAAAAGCTGCTTATTTCTGCCACACAGCTTGCCCCACTATGAGCCAAAAGAGGAACCAAGCCTCAGCTGGGGACACTATACAAAGTGCAGTGCCTCTGTATAGTGCCTGGCACTCAGCAGCTGTTCCACAACCAGAAGTTAACCTCCTCAGTTGGCAGCATGCATTGACTCCTTCTGTGAGCCAGGCCCTGTGCTATGTGATAGAACTGTTGAGATGAATAAGACATGATCTTTGTCACTGAGGACCTCACAGCTGAGTAAGGAGAGACAGACAGGCAGTTAAGTGCTCTGGAGGTACCAGGGGCAGGCATGAAACCCTACAACAGGCTCTTTAGACAATGTAGTCAATGTAGTATTTAAGTTGAGATCACCAGGGCACTTAGAGGTAGATGGGAGTAGAGGAGACTTTTGTGGTGAGAGAGCAGTATGAGCAAAGGCCCAGAGGCAGGAATACTCTGAGACACCCTCACTGAGGGGAAGTGAGGAAGCAGACCCAGCAAACCCTCGGCAGCCAGCTTCCATTGCTTCAGGCTGCTTTTGTGGCCTGCCTGACTCCAAGCTGGCCAGGCCTCAAGCCCGTGCAGAACCAGGCAGTATGCTTGTATCGCCCCATCAGAGCCTTTCCTGCCCAGTGGACCCAAGTGCTGAGAGGGGCTGGGTGGGCAGGGAGAAGGAGGAGGCAGATATATGGTGGAGTCGTCAGAGCCAGGTGATGTATGTGGCGCCTGAGGGAGCTGCACAGTGACACTCTGGATTCCAACCGGCAAGCGTCACTCCACTGGGATTGGTGCCGAATTATTGCTCCATATGAAACCCAGGACTGATGGGAGCTTTCAGTTACAGACTGATAGCAACAGCCAAAATTGGATTGTTTGCTATTTATTTTTTTTAACTTCTGTCAAGGTCACTACTGTAACAGGAAAACACTGCCCAAGCAGCAGGTATTTTTCATCCACTCTGCCTGCAAGAGCAATCTGCAGCCACAACTTTTGTGACAGGGCCTTACCTGGGCAGCTCTCTTTCTAGAGAGCTATCAGTGTTACAAGGTCTTAGGAGAAAAGAGGCTCCTGAAGATCCAGGTCTTTCTGTCCCACTCCAAGGCCTGCTTCCTTCCCCCATCCACCTGGCTCCGTGAGCACTTTATCATCAGACCTGTATACTCACCTTCCCTTGATGGCCTCTAGATAGTCCCACAGCTCCTGCTGAGCCTAGGACTCCAACTTCTTTGTGTCTCCTTCCCCTCTCTGGATTCCTGTGCCACCCAGTTCAGCTGTTAGTTCTCTCCTCTTATCTATTACCAAATTTACTTGGCAAACATTGACCAGCTGCCTTCATTGTGCCAGGACTTGTGCATTGAGTAAAGGACAGTGCCTGCCCTCAGGCAGCTCATAATCGATTTAGAGGATAGATTCACAAACATGCAACAAATTTGGTTTGTTTGTTTGTTTGTTTTAGATTTTATTTATTTATTTGAGAGAGAAACCTGGTGAGCATGTGAGAGAGAGCACAAGCATGGGAAGCGGCAGGTAGAGGGAGAAGCAGACTCCCTGCTGAGCAGAGAGCCCAATGTGAGGCTTGATCCCAGGACCCTGGAATCATGACTTGAGCCCATGGCAGACCTCAACTGACTGAGCCACCCAGGCACACCTGGTTTTTGTTTTTAAGCAGGGCTTGAACTCATGACCCTGAGATCAAGACCTGAGCTGAAGAGTCAGATGCTTAACAGACTGAGCCACCCAGACACCCTGAGAAGTATTTGTGTATGAGCCCTCCCTCCCCTCCTTGTCCAACTTAGAGCTCCCTGAGGGCAGGCCTGGCTCTCCTCTGTTCTTCACAGTGTGGTCATGCTCAGGCCTCCTTCCCTCTGCCCTTTTCTGAAGTGAACCAACAAGCCCAGGGCCATACACACATGGGCACTCAGCAGCATCTGGGTTCCAGTCTTGGGTTTCAGTCCTCCTCCTTCTCCCCACCGTGCCATTTCTATCATGGTGTGCACAGGGCCAAGCACACAGCAGTTGCTGAATAGCTGTGTTTAGTTGAAATGCAGTATCATTGAATTGGAGGATGTTCATAGCTCTGGTATAAAAACTAAAAAAGTTTTCAGGGCACCTCGCTGGCTTAGTCAGTGGAGTGTGTAACTCTTGATCTCAGGGTTGTGAGTTTGAGCCCCATTGTGCATAGAACTTACACTAAAAAAAGAGAGTGAAAACCAAGAAGATTTGCAAGAGGATAAGTAGAAAGGAAAGAACCCATATTTGTTAAGCACTTACACTACATGCCAGCTCATTATGTATGTCGTCATATTTAATCCCCAGTTTCCAGGTGAGAAAACTGAGAGTAAGTAAATTACTCCAGATGATAAGTACATCTTACAAGTGATAAAGCTGGGATTCAAATGCAGGTCTTCTATCAGACTCCAGAGCCAAGTGTTAATCTACTAGCAATACTTTATTTTACTAGCAGAGTGAGTCAGGACTCCTGAGCATAGAGTGAGGACTAGAGCAAGGGAACAATGGGAAGGACTGGGCTAGCCTTCAGTGGCCCAGAGCCAGAGTGTGCAGCAGGACTCCTGGAGACCCAGACCTGTGTTTTTTGCCCCTGGGTTTTAGTGTAGAATGAAACAATCTTGAGCCACCTTCCCTTTCTCCTCACAGTATCAAGAGAAGCAGCGGAAGCGTGAGGCTGAGGAGCGGCGCCGCTTTCCCCTGGAGCAGCGGCTGAAGGAGCACATCATTGGCCAGGAGAGTGCCATCGCCACAGTGGGTGCTGGTGAGTATCAGGACGCAGCGACCAAAAATGGGTGGGGTGGCTCATGGTCTGCTGTAGTGAAGAGTACACCTTGCTGTCACCATACCATGCAGAGGTGGCTCATAAGATTATAACTTAACATTCAGTGAGTACTTTCTGTGTGCTGAGCATTGTGATAAGTTCTCCATGTTTGTTGTCATTTAATCCTTACAGCAACCCCATGAGGTTGGTACCATTAAATCTCCATTTTATTATTTTTTGAAGATATTTATTTATTTGTTTATTTGAGAGAGTGTGAGAGAGAGAATGAGTGGAGGACAGAGGGAGAGGGAGAAACAGACTCCCCACTGAGCAGAGAGCCCAACACGGAGCTCGATCCCAGGACCCCAAGATCGTGATGTGTGTTGAAGTCAGACGGTTAACCGGCTGAGCCACCCAAGTGCCCCAAATTCCCATTTTACAGATGAGGAAGCTGAGATACAAAGCATTTATAATAATTGCTCAAGGCTGCTTTCCTGTGCTCTCTTTCATCCTGTCCACTGTCCCCATCCCCCACTTTTCAGGTAGGCAGGCTGAGACCCAGAGAAGAACAGGAGCTTGTCCATCACTTGTAGTGTAGCAGCTCAGCCAGAACTACAACTTCTATCTTTTGTTTCCCAGCCTGGAACTCTCACTCTTCAGTATAGTTTGTCAGTAGCTAGCTGACAAACATCCTGAACAAGTCTTAAGTGCCTTCCTCTTGACCCTAGAAGCTCTAATGTCGCATACTGGGAGCCCGACTGCTGTCTGGTGTAACCCCTACTCTTAATTGCCCTCCTGCACATGCAGACCCCACTAGAGGGAATAGAAAACTAGGGTTCTGCTCAGGATGATGACTTCACCTCTGTTCTCTGACTCAGACGCATGATTCTCTGAAGGTGACTGCAGACAGATGAGGCAGGAGCAGAGTAACCTGGGCCCAACTTAAACAAATATCCCCCAAGGCAATGATTCTCTAAGCATGGTCTCTGGACCAGCAGCATCAACATTCTCTGGGGCCTTGTTAGATTTGCAGATCTCAGGCCTCACCCCAAACCTATGGAATTGGAAACTCTGGGGTAGGACCCAGCAGTCTGTTGTAACACTCTGCGGGTGATTGTGCTGCTTAGCTCAAGTTTGAAAACCTCTGTCCTACAGTGTCTCAGTCCCATTCATGTTGCTTACCCTTTCTCTGCAAACATCTGGTCCCACCAGATGTGTTCCAGTCCAACCAAAGACAGCACGTGGTAGAGGCTCACTGATAAAAGGAGACCTCGGGCTGTATCACAATACAATGCCTCTCTGGGACATTCTGGAGTGGCACTTCAACCCTAGGATACCAATTAGAGTAGAGGAGGCAGCCACCCCTGCAGCACAATGAGCCCAGCCTGATCATCATTCTCGCACACCAGTGGGACTTGGGCAGTGGTCATGAGCTCCCCCATCAGGGGCCTGACCTCAGCAGCAGTTAAAAGGAGCCCGCAGGCCAGAGCTGCTCTACTGGCTAGAGGTCAGAAGGCTGCCTGCAGGCACACACAAGAACCGTGTGCCAAGGGCTGAATTGGAGGGAGAAGAGACCCTGAGAGCTCCTGAGGGTTGAAGAAAGGAGTTGCCTATGGGAGAGATGTTATTACCTGGTGGAGAGCTAAGAAAGCATCTTCTGCTGGAGTTTCTGTTCACGTGGACCAGCACTGCAACTGCCATCCTAGTGTTTTCCCTCTGCTTCTTACATGGCCCTTTCCCAGGCTGCTCCTCTTTCACCTCCTACCTCTCCCTGACTTCTCAAGCCCATTAGATCTGAAACTCCCAGAAGTTGAAGGGAATGGGGAGGAGGATGTTGGGATGGAGAGAATTAGACCAACATGGTCAGATAGTGTGTCTCCCACTTATCAACTGTATGATTCATACTCACTCGGCCTCTTTGAGCATCAGTTTCCTCACCTGTGAACTGAGGTGCCAAATCCATGACTATCTCACTATATAGCACATGCTCAGGATGTTTACCATCCAGGTCTGGGCATGTTCTTTAAATTTTTTTTTTATTTTATTTACGATAGTCATACAGAGAGAGAGAGAGAGAGAGGCAGAGACACAGGCAGAGGGAGAAGCAGGCTCCATGCACCGGGAGCCCGACGTGGGATTTGATCCTCGGTCTCCAGGATCGCGCCCTGGGCCAAAGGCAGGCGCCAAACCGCTGCGCCACCCAGGGATCCCTGGGCGTGTTCTTTAGATCAGGCCCATAGTTACTGCCTTCAAACCAGGACTAGCCCCAGTCTAGCCTCTTCCTCTGATCCTACACCAGCCTCTAAAGTACCACCCATTTCGCCTCTCCTTGTTGTTAGCCCAGAGCAGGAGTAAATGATTCAGCTGCCCACCTCTGAGGAGCTGTCAGAAGGTCTTCCCTGAGAGCTTTCCTCTACCCAAAGCGCCATTCTTTTACCCAAACCCTGCCTTATCCCTACACCTTTTCGTGTGTTATGTAGGTTGACCTGACCCTGCTGTGTCTCTAGGGACCTTAGGAAAGACAGGTATTAGGGCCTGAGCTGTGGGGTTGGTGTATCTTCTCCATTTGTGTGGTAACTATATCCCCTGCTAGCTAAGAAGCCTGTGGCCAGTGATCACATTGATAATGATCTGATAATGTTCACCTACCAACCCAGGTGGAGCATGAGGTACTCTCTGGGTCAGAATTTGTGGTAGGCAAGCAGCAGCCAGTGCTTCAAGGTCTCCAGACTGAAGAAGGTACAGGAGAGAGAAGTGGATCCAGAGGGATAGGCTGGGTCTCTCTGGATCCTCTAGGCTAGCATCAGATATATGCTAGGGACTCACTGGGTGGAGCCTGGCACCCCAGGGGTACCATGAGGATGGGCAACTAGAGAAGTGCCGCAGAATGAATTGATTTGATAAATGGCCATTTATTACCCACACGAATTGGCTGAAACCAATTTCGGTCACATCAACCCCTGGTAAGTGCTGGGATATTGATTTGTGCAAAGTAATACAGTGAATTTATCAGTGTGATCCCCAGCTGCAGGGCTTCTAGCAAGGCTGGCGCACAGTTACCGCCTTACAAATGGAGGAGATAAAGTACCAACCCCTTAGCTTAGGCCCCCATGGCCTCTCTGGTCTTCTAGGGTCACCAGAGCCAAAGCAAAGCCAGCCTACATACCACAAGCCGGAGCCTTGGCATTGAAAGTGAGACTCTCCTTCCAGAATCCAGAGCTACTCTTGGTCATGGGAGGGGGAGGATGCCTAGCCCGATGGGCAGACCTCCTGGGAGCTTAGAGCCTCTGTGTCCCACCATTCTCCTCAGAAAAGCAACCAGCAGTCTATTCAGTACATTCAGGGCTAGACTCCATCCTCTTCCTCCCAACTTGCCCACCTCCTGTTCTATCTCAGTAAAGGCACCACCATTCACTAGTCTCCTAAATAAAAACTTAGATAATTCTTGGGCTCCTCCCTCTCCCTCACCCTTTACCGCCCATCACATACCAGGTTCTAGCATTCTGCCTCTTAAATGGGTCTCAAACTTAGCCTTACGCTCCTTTCCTAATACCACTGCCCTTGCTCAGAACCTCAGGATCTGCCATTTGAATCTTGAGTGGCCTCCCTGTCTCCTTTCCTTCCCCTGGCATCACTTCTCCCGAGCTGGAGTGAGCTCTGTAAAATGTAAGAACTCCCCTGTTTAAAATCCTTGAGTGGCTCTTGCTGCTGTAGCCCAGTATACACGGCTCATGCCCCCCCCCGCCCCCCTCCCACTCCTGCACATACACCTGGCTACTGCTCACTTCTGCTTCCCTGGACACGCTGTGTTGATCTCCTTGCACTTGTTGATGCTGCCCTCTCTGCTTGAAATTCCTTTCCTTCTGGCCCTTTCCTGACCCCACCCTAGCCCTGCCCATCTCCCGCAGCTCTGGCTGTTTTTACTTAGCCTAACTCAGTTCAGGAGCAACAGACTGTAGACTTCTGAAAGCAGAGACCGTGACTGAATCATTTTAGTTTTTCCAGTTCCTGGCACAGTACTCTGCTTGAAGTAGCTCAGTAATGCAGTTTGTTGAATTAATTTGGCTGGGCCCCTTGGCCATCTCTGTGCTTTGAGGAAAAAAGAATAGCTATAAGCTTGCCCTCTAGTAGCTCACAAGCATATTAGAAACAGGAGTATATTGAAATAGTAACACTCATAGTATCTGACCTTTGACCCCTCAAGTGGACAGGCCATTCCCCAGTCCTACTGTGGGTTTAGCCTGCACACCTAGAAGCTTCCCTGCAGCTCTCTAACCAGATGCCTATCACCAACCCATTGCACCTGCTTCCACTTGACTCTGATGCCCATGAATTCCCTCAGGAAAGCTCTGCCATCGCAACTGATCTTCTGTGCTGAGGTCTGGCTCAAATTCAGAATCTCAGCATCAGTCACGTGACACACAGTGGGCTATCTCGTGCTTTACTTCCCTTTTTGACAGTCCAAAAATGTAATTGCCCAAGCCCTGCACCTTTGTGGGCCACCTCCACACCCCTCCCCTACTCTCCACCTTAGAGTCCTGTTCCTGAGCTGAGAAATACATCCAGGCCATCCCTGAGTCATGATATGAGGTGATTACTTTAGAAAACTGCTTGCAGTCCCACCTCCACCCCATACCACTTCAGATGTTCTTATTGTCCAGACCACCCTGCCCTTGCCCTAGCCTGCTGAGACACTTAAGTGAGACACTCAAGACCCAGGCCTTCTCCAGAAAGCCTTTTTTAGCCCTCCACGAGGGCCCATTCTTAGGGCTTCCTGTGGACACCTGTTATCACTCCACATACCACAGGGCATCTCTTTGAAGTCTCTCTCCAAAGGTCAAAATACCTCTTGTACAGCTTTTCCCCAGGGTTGGGCACACAGGTGTGTAAAAGATTGCTAAACTCAAGTGAATGAAGCCTGCAGCCATCTTGACATTCAGCCTCTCCTTAACATAGATTCTCATCCCAACCGCCTCCAGGAAGGGTGGTGCTCTTCCAGT